TCATTGCTTATTAAAATAATCTGCTTATATAATTACTTTTATTGTAAATTATACTGGCAATATTTTCTGTTAATATGATATATTTATAATATGTATTATATAAGATTACATGTTAATATTTATATGTATTTGTAATCACATTATATATGCACATAAATCATTTAATCTATAAAGCATTTTTAATCAAGGAAAAATTTTGCTGTATACTATTTAGTTTCCGTATACATAAAATATTTCTCCATTGAAGGAGTGTTATTTTCTTAATTTGTTTTAAGGTGTTTAATCCGTTCTTTCATGTTTTCTCATGAATTAAACAATCAACAGTGATTCAGGAAATAATGTTAGTATTTTGCTTCTAAATGTGGATTGTATACTGAGTTTATACATAGTAAGTTCAGTTATGTTTGCTTAATAAGAAAAAAACAATTTGGCATTTCATGTTTCGTAATGCAACATTTTTTTCTGAAAAAATGAGTCATCTTTTTATTTAGTTAAATGCAAATCAAGGGATCTATTAAAAGTTCTAATGATATTAACAATTCATATCTCAGAAATATGAAGGAGTATAAATTAAATAATGTATGCCAAGTTAAATAATGTATGCAAGAATAAAAGATATAAGATATAGGCTATATCTCAGTATTAGAATGTATGCACTGCAAGAACCAGGCCTTTTCAGATACCTTTAGTTTGAGAAGACCTATGCTAATTAAAGAAAAATTCTGGGTATATAAAAAGAATATTAAAATAGCTGTGTTAAAGTTCGAATCCATCAATAGAATGTGTTAAAAATTCTGCCAGAACAACATGAATGTAGGTACTAAGGAACAGTGCAAGCAACTTTGAAATTTTATTTAAAGTAGTAAATCGATTTCCACCAATTTTTTCAACATGTGCTACCTAAAAATTGCAACAAAATATTTCTAGCTTGTGATTTCATTTACATTAAATGTTAAGGATATGAAAAATATTTAGAAAATAATGATTATTCTGTATATTTGTTATATTTTAATTAGCATATTTGTTAAAGACTATGCCATGATATAGACATTCGATTACCTAAATTTTTGCAATTAAATATATGTTAATATATCCTCATAAAGTCTTAGTACTCTCATTTATATCCTGTTGCTTTTTTCTGAATTGACTGTGATATCCAGTGCCTATGTTATTTCACAAATAATACCATTTATCAAGTAGTACATTGTTTAATATATTATATTGTATTATACTATGCAAATGTTACCAAAAATTATTAGTAAATATAGTATATGTGAAAATGTTAGAGTAAATTTTATAGACATGTTACTGTAATTATCAAACGTTTTGGTATGCCAAGAATGGTAACTCTTAATTATTCATTACAAAGTATTCTATTTTGTAGTTTTTCACCAAACATAACATTAGTATCAGATAAAAAATTAGAGTATCTAATTTTATTCTTTTTCTAATGAATGTCATATTTTTAATACATTTTATCTAGGAAGATTAGAAAACGTATTTTGAGGGAGAAAGAGTGGAGTTTTTTCTACGTAGGAATTAATACGTTTGCATGTGCTTCTATTTTATCCTCTCATTTAAAGAAATACTTTCCCCTTAACATCCTCTGTAGTTCTGGACATGAAAATCATAACCTGTCAGCATGCTTGGAGTGTTTTCCAATGACCTGCATTCACAGCACAGATGTTAATGCCTGAAGGAATAGGACTTAAGTATGTGCGGCAGACTACAAGAGATTCGGTGGAAGGATGGGGGTGGAATTGAATGGGAGAAATGGTCTGAATTTGATTAGGAACTGTTCTATGAAGTTGCAAATGCTCAATAAAAATAAAAATTAAGAAAAGCACAGATATTAAATATATCCCTGGGACTGTTGCCAGGCCCAGGGTAGACACACACAAAGGACATTTGGGGGCACAAATCAGACTCTACAGGCTATATTACATATATAAGACACTACATTAAATGAGGGGGGTGGTGTGAATAGGGGAGGGGCTCTAAATAATATCAAACTCCATTGCATAGAAATTGCATTCAATTAAAAAATTATCTGTTGTCTACTTGTGTATGCTCTGCAAATCAGGCAGCACTTTCCATTATTGAACTACGGGTTCATGCAATTAATCGAAAACTCTGGGATTACCAAGAGTTGAACAGGCATTCAACCTTTTAAGTATTCGTGTGTGTGTGTGTGTGTGTGTGTGTGTGTGTAAACATGGGTCCTGGGTTTTGCAGATTGTAGGTAAACACACTAACACAGCGGTACAATAAATGGAGAGATACACTAAACATCTGTTGAAATTTAAAAATATTCCCTCCCTTTTTCTTCCGGCAATGCAGAGCTGTGGATGCACCAAGCGCTAGCACATGCTCAGCCCTCTCTGTCTCTTAACATTGGCCTGGGGCAGGCCTAAAACTGCTACACCCCTTCACTACAGTTTGAGTCCTGTACTTTAAAATACTTTATTAATTAGATAGTCGTTTGCAATCCTGTGAGGCGTAATGAACACTAATGCAGTGTACGAAATCAAAATGACTAAAAAAGATACCTTACCACCACCGGGATTCGTTTAAAATGGCAGCGGTCTCCTCAATACCCAGAACCATTTGTCACCGATGCAACGCTGAAAGGAAAATTAAACTGTCAGAAAAATTCTATATCCAACAAAAGTTTCTTTCCAGCTGGGAATTAAATAGGATTTAGTAATTCAGACAAACCTGTCAATCAGCAGCCAGACTAATTGTAGGTGGTTTTTCCTTCTGGAAGCTCTATGAGGCACTGCAAATATTTTCTAATTTGCAATATACATTTATAATTATTCCTAATTTCCATAAAAATTAGTTTAGTAATTTATTACAAACTTAAGGAAGAGAAGTTGTAAAATAATTTGTTTTTACATGCAAAAAAAATAAGAAAATGAATTCTAAGATTAATAGCCCTTAAGAAACTACACTTCCTATTCTCAAAACAAACACCTCAACCAAAGAGAGAAAGACATCCCCAAAACACGTTTGACAAGCACAGCTCAATGACAATTTCAACACTTAGATTCACAATTACTCTGAACTGAAATTAAGTCACTGTGTGACTGGAGTCATAGATGGTTGACAGCTGCCATGTGGGTGTTAGGAACAGAAGCAGGGTCCTCTGAAAACGCAGCAAGTGTTTTTAACTACTGAATAAACTCTGTAGTCCATATTTTGCTTTTTTATAAATTTCTTTACAAAGTTATTTTAATTTTCTGATTTTTTTTCTTTTCTTTTTATGTGAATGAGTGTTTTTCCTGCCAGCATAAATGCACTTTGTGGCCAGAAGGGAGTGATGGATAGTGCTCTTAACCTACAAATCTGTTTTAAATCAGATTTTTGGTGTCTTAAAATAGCAATGATTGATGAAGGGAAAAAATTTCTGCTAAAAGAAAATTACATTGATTTCAACTATAAAGGACAATTTTACATTCCCTTCATAGTCTTCTGAGAAAATGAAACTCTGTACATTTTTATAATTTAGTATAACTGAAAACAGTCATATTATTCACTCCTAATTTGTGCCATTTGTTTTATGTATATATCTTTGGGCAATTTCAATGATTAGTTTATTAAGAACACACACACACACACTCACACACACAAACACATATACGTTTACCTGAACACTCACACAGACACACTGACAAACAGACCCACTCACACACACACTCACACTCACACACACTTACACACACTCACACACACACTCACACAGTCACACACACATGGTCACACTCATACACACTCAGAAACACTCACACTCACACACTAACACACTTACAAACACACAAACTTAAAATAATATATGTAATTTTTAATTTTTATTTTATGTGTATATGTGCATTGCCTGCATGTGTGTAAGTGCACTTGTATCAGCCAATGGCCATGGAGGAAGAAAAGGGTGTTGGATTCTCCTGGAACTGGAGTTACAAATGGTTGTTAGCTGTCATGTGGGTGCTGGGAGTAGGACACAAGTCCTTTGTAAGAGTAGGCAGTGCTCTTAATGTCTGAGCAATCTTTCTAATCCCAAAACATGTAAATTAAAAAAAATTATTAGTTTTATGTTATGAGTGTTCTGTCTGTACGTATGTAAATGCACCACCTGTGTGTCTTGCTTGTAGAAGTTAGAAGGGGGCTATTGGTGCAATAGAACTGGAGTTATGGATGGACGTCAGCTGCAAGTTGAGTGCTGGGAATCCAACTCAGTATGGTAAGTAATACTAAAGGCCCTTAGAAAAAGCCACATGAATATCTATCACTATAGAAGCTTCTAAGAGTATATATATATTGCCTCAGTTTGCCAGTCTAGCACTGAAGGCCTGGAGGATGTCTAGACGTCTGCTATTCTTCAGTCTACATTGGAATCCGAATAAGTTGGTTCTACTATTAGTGAAGAATGGGACTGCTGAGACGTCAAGACTCATGGACTGAACGAGCCAGTAAACAGCTTCTTCTATGGTCTGTGATCCAGGTTCCTGCCCTGAGTTCCTGCCTTGGCTTCCCTTGGTGATTGACTGTGCTTGTCAGTCAAATAATCCCTTTCCTACCCAAGTTGGTTTTGGTCAGTGTTTTTATAATTGGCAACTGAAGTTAAACTAAGGCAAAAATTAGTAGCATTAAGTGAGCTGTTGCTGTGACAGACCT